AACCCCCTTTTCAAAAGGAAACAAAAACCCTTTTGAATTAACCCTACACCAGTCAAAAAACCGGAGATCAGCCCCAGTTGAGACCTCGTAAGAGAATGGTTTGCTTTCTTCATTTTCATCAGTCCTGCCTAAGACGGCCATTTTTCTCCTTGACAATGGGTGTCCATTTTACACAGGTTTGACTGTATTGTGTCCAGCGCGCCCATATAACCAGCCATATGCAGTTGTGAGCGCAGTAAAACGCTTACCAACACACCCCCCCCCCCTCTAAAAAAAACCCAAAACAAGGCTATAGTGGGGGACCCACGCTCTCAGTGTTTTGAAGAATCTGAAGGACTAGTTTCCTCAAACTTTATCTCCACATTTTGAAGTAGGCCAATACATGTAGGACGATGAAAGCATTTTGTTTTACTTTTGGTTCAGCTTTATTCACATTGTAGTAAGTCATTTTGAAGTTGCCAGTTGGAGCTCTTGATTATCAGAGAAAGTCTGCTCCTGATCATAAACTTTTACACACATCTGGCAGAAGAGTGAAAACTTTAATTAATCTGGCAACTTTTTACTTTCCATTAAACTTTCCAAGATAAGGTTAGGACACGTCAATGCTTGTGCTGTAGCTAAAGAAAGGAAAAATCTGAACATTTTGTGTAGCGCAATGAATGGCACACCAGCAAATTTGAAGAACCAACTAGGAAGTAAATACGCATGCATTTTATAACAATTGTATGGGTTTAGCACTCCTTACATTAACATACAAAATCCCACCCAGCCAAACCATCCAACTTGCTAGAGACAGGAGGCTCTTTCTCCCCTCTACGCCCTAGAGGTACAAGAGGACAGACAAAGAAGAATAAAGTAAGAACGTTACTGCTTCAATTACAACACTCCATTAGTTCAAAAGACTAGATAGGACAAGCTAGGCAGACTGTAAGCTTCGAAAACTCTCCGAATAACCCAAGTTCCAATTAGAATAAACCACTTGGGATTCAAACTAAGTCATTGGTGCCAAAGCCCTATATGATACAGAGTTAGAAGTGGGCGCTAAGAATCTGGAAATAAATAAGGAGGAAAGATGTTTGATGGGAAAGAAAGATCAAACCACACCAGAGCAAACATCAACCACCCACTAAATAAATTCAATGCCAACAGTCAACCAAGAATACGTCTACACAAAGCAAAGCAGGAAAAGTGATAAATGAACACAACAAATTGAGTAGGAAAATTGAGATCTTTATTTGTTACCAGCAAATACTTGCCCTATGGTACATTATTATTTCATGACCAGACTTTCAGCATATCTTTACTACGTTTAATCAGCATGGATCCAAACATTATTTAACACAAAAACGAGTGGTCGAATAGGTTTGCTTCTGCTGGGTGCAGCGTGTTTCATGTTTCAACGGATATCTATTTGTGTCACGACAGTGAAACAATACCCAATGTGTTGAAACAGTGTGCCATATGACTGGAAGAGTTTTATTATTGCTCCCCTCCTCCAAAAGATGTACTGTACTAGAAATACAAACATAGTAGATAATACATAAGTGACTGAGTTGCATTGAGCAGGGTACTGTGAACTAGTAATGCTGTCAAAGTTCTTGCTGCCCTTTTTGACAGAGAAACTTGATACCAAAAAAAAAAATTAATAAAAAGGTTAATGATGACATCACAAACCATGGCAGGATTTCTGATTTTGTTCCTTACAAAGAAGAAAGTAAAATGAATTCAGGCAACTGGGGTAGCTGAATTTGCTCACATGTTTAAAGCCAATTTTGTGCACAAAATAGAACAAGTTGTGTAAGGGAAAAAAAAAGAGCAGGATCTTTTTTCTCCCTTTTTATCTTTTCACAAACATGAAACTATACCAGCAAAGAAATGAAGCAAGTCCAGAGAAACTATACCAGCAAAGAAATGAAGCAAGTCCAGAGAAACTATACCAGCAAAGAAAGGAAGCAATCTTCTGGACTTTCTTGTTCAAATAAACACAAATTCTAGTACTAGAGCCTGCTTGGCTAGTTTACTTTTGTAACTGTATCCCTCTTCAAAGTGCATGAAGAGGGAGGATTATCCCCCTATATCTAACTCATACACTTCAACTCTGAAATTTCCCTCCTGCTCAACACATCTATTAAGTGTCTCAGCACAGTTTGAAAGGCACAAGTGCAACAAGTGATAATACACCGATGGCAACAAAGAGGAAACAGTGGAGCTCTCATCCTTGGCCCTAGCTCGATAGACATGTCCACACACACACATACAAAAACTTCAGCTCAATTCAAGATATGTAATTACTCTGACCTCTTGACACAACAGCAAACACAAGATGCATTGATTAGCCGAGTCGCTTGCGTTTCACAAGCGAAACAACCAGTGCATAGGAAGGATGTAGCTTTGAAATGCTCTTTAAAAAAAAAAATCTGTAGCAGAAGCAAGAGAAAAGCACCCCAAGTCAAAGGCTCCGGGGCTTCTTGGTCTTTAAAAAAGAAAAAAAAAATCACATCAAGATGTAAATACGTCTAAATTTCTTCAACCTAAAACAATTATGCATACATAGAACAGAATAGTACACTTTTAACTAAATATTGGTACTGATAGTAAAACAATAGAATAACATTAAACTACTTGACAATAATTTTCTTTTTCTTCTATGTCATAAGCACATCTGAATGGCACTATAAAGCATTGAAATTAAGACAGAAAAACAAAACAAAACAAGTATGCTCTACCCTTAAGACTAGTCTAACAAATAACACATACATTTTGGAAACTTCACCACAATATGGGGTGTCAGTAAACTGTCAATTTCTTAAGAAACATCATGGTGGAACTTTTAAAAAAATGGGGGATAAATGAGAAGCTTATTCTACAGCACTGCACAAATTGCTACTGTATGGTTTCAAAGGCAGACAGATCTATCAGTCCCAGAAACAATACAATATTACCAATGTGTGCAAAGTCTCCACCAAACAGAACTATGTGTGGCTGAGCCTAAAAATATAAGATAAGTAGCCAAAAAGCAAAACACAATTTACCACCAGTTCAATTTTTCTAGTCCGACAGTAATATTCTACAAACTCAGAAAAGAAAAAAGTACTGCCCAAACAGCAAAATATTTGCGGATACAAAACTCGAGAGCCTGCACATTTTCTGGGCAATAGTGCTTCAAAACATATCAAAACAAACATAAAATATATCGAAACCCTATAGGGTTTTGTAAATATTATGTCAAAGAGTCACAATCTTCGAAACGAGACTGTGGAATATTGAACGACCTTGTGCAATTCTGACAGATCTCCTCTTTCTTCTTCCATATTGCATTACTTAGCTTTTGGAAATGACAGCGGGACGCTTCAATCAGAATAGTTATTAAACCATAATGATAGTCCAACTTTGACATGGGGGAGAGGTATGGACAGAAGTTTGGTTTTTAAGAATTAATTAAAATTCTGTGTACTTCCAAATTTAAAGAAAACAATTTTTGTTATCTTCACTTGTATCCTAAAAAAAAAAAGGAAAAAAAAGAACCACCCCTCCCCCATTTGTTTTTCAGTGACACAAACAGAAGTTTGTTTCATGTCTCAGGGCAAACAAACAAAGACAAAGACTGATAATGAATATATCACATTGTAGCTTTAGCTGGACTGGAGGAAACAACATAACGGCTATCACAGAAAAATACCTCATGAAATTTCACTCCAATAATTTTTTTAATGTGCATTTTCAAAACTGTTGCTGAACCAGTTTCTGCACACACAAAATTTGAAGAGAGTCAACTATATGCACAAGCTCCTTTTCAAAATCTGTTTTTCTTCATAATGACTTGCTAAAAATGTGTGTTCTTGCTCTAGAAATCTACCTTTTCATTACTGAAATACATAAAGCTGTGCATGTTGGAACGTAAGAAGATCAAATATATTTTAGCAAATGAACTTTGGTTTTTAAGCATTTCACAAAAATAACTTATTTCAAATTTTACACACCATTTATTTACATATTTGCTTTCTCACAAATCATTAAAAAAAAGGAAAAAGAATCCCATTCATTCAGTTATCGAAATCCAGTATGTCTGAAACTGTTGGAGGGATGTTCGTTTAATCTGGCGTAACTTAGCTTAACAACCAAGCTTCCGCAAAGTCATAGCCAATCAAAAAGTCTTGTCATGGAGTACATGCATGCCATGGTCCAGTCCATGTCAGCAGAGAAAACAACAACAGACATCTCACGACAATGAACATTCGGAACAGTTACCCTAACTTCTTGTCTCTACACTCACCCGAGGATGATTGGATTGTTCTTGTTGTTGTTGTTGCGTAACAGCACAATGATTCTCTATGTATTCTAAATTATAACTAGTATCATAAAGACTTGGGCAGCACATTGTCCATGCATTTCTGAGCTTCCGCTGTTAACTCTTTGGCCTCCTTCTTCACTGTGTCGATTACCCATTCCATTGCTTGTCGTCCCTGGAGAAAGGCAGAATTGATGCATCAAGTGAAAGCCTGTACAAAGTTCTCAACTGATTAAGAAATGAAACAATGAAGACTAAAATAACAAAGCACATGCGCATCAAAGTATCAAACGTGGTTGGTTAGCGAGTGCTCTGGTGTGGTTTGCTCCTTCTTTCCTATCAAACATCTATCATCTTTTTCTCCCCTCCTTCTTTTTCGTATTTGTTACTCTCTTGTAACACCTCTTATCTTCGGCACTTATATGACCTTATTGTGTTGCAAGTGCCATAAAACTCTTACCACCAAAAAAAGTACCAAACATAAAGATTTCTTTACCCCTTCTTGACAACCTCTATAAAAATCTATTTGCCAAATAAAGCAGGGGACTGCTCATGAATGAGGAAGAAACGCTTCTGAAGCTGTGCCCTTCTAAAATGAGATAGCAGGAAGAATAACATAATTTCAAAATTGTATTATTTAATGAGTTTCATCAGATGGGCACCAAAAATGATCTGATAGAGCCGTCACATGAGAAACACAAACTTGACAAATTAGAACTTTCCGCACTACCAATATCTATATCATATATGGCAGCACTGTTTTGACCTAGACGACACAGAAGAGTTAAAATGCAAGTGATGGCCTAAGAATAAAAAATGTAGTTGTGGAAGAACAAAAGGACCTGGGGGGCTCTCATGGCCCAGAGGTTAAGGTGTTCACCTCTCATTCAAAGGTCCCGGGTTCGAATCCCGGTAGCGACCGAAAAATGTTCTTTAAAATTGTCTCCTTTCACCTTCTTTCTTTCTCTCTTGCAATATTCTGTCTGCTTACGTCTCCATTTTCGCCCCCCACCCCCTTTGCCCCCTCCACTGGGCTCCTGACTCTTTCAGCAGCCTTTCTACTGCTACTCCTTGGCTCCTACTTACTGCCGTCTTTCAGCCACACCCCTGATCTTTGGGTAGGAAAGAGTACACCTAGCCTTCTCGGACAAGAGTGAAAAATCTTGGAGGTCCCATGTGCAAGTTGCACATGTTAAAGATCCCCTGGTGGCCCAAAATCGATTTATAAGGCTTCGGTCGCCACCCGAGCAAAATTCAAAATTTCCTACCAATTGAAACTGTTTGGTGTGTCCTGCACGCTCATTTGACCGTATGCAGTTGTGAGCGCCATACAACACTTACCAAAGAAAAAAAAAAGGACCAGCAAATTTGCGTAAAAAAGTCATGAGATCTGCAATCATGCTGAATGTGATCAATGTGACCAAAAACACCTGACAAAAACAACAAGATATATTCATGAAAAATACTATGAAAGATGACCCAAAATCAAATTATCTTTGCTGGAAATAGAGCTTTATTCTTTATTCATTTGATTCTGTGTTAAAACCTATTTGTTTGTTCTTTGTTTCATAAAACATCTTGCAAATCTCAGTGTCACCTATCACACGCACAAGTTCATACTTTGTTCAATTTTCAAATGTTCGAGAACAATATTTCTTCTAATATTAATTGCTTAAAAGATTGTGACGACTAACACTAACCTGTACTGTTTAACAAATCCATACCAATGCTGGAGAAAAAGTCTAGCCAATACAGAGAAAATATAGTAATTCAGTCGGGGTGTGGCACATTGTACGAGCGATCTGTGTATTCTATTGTCTGTGCCCAGTCGTAATCGTTGTGAAAGGACAATTCTAAACTCCAAATCTTTTACAGAAATCAGCAGACACATTATGGACTTCACAGCACACCATATGGCTTGTAGGGACAAAATGGTTTTATCTGTACACAACAGAAATAGCATTATTTGAAAAGATGTGATACTCACTTTGCCTGCATTATTTTTCATAGAATCTGTGACCATTTGTTCCAGTTTACTACAAAGAGGTAGACCAGATACAGTAACTGTGGCTTCCTGTCTCAGGAGTGTTCTGTGGAGGGTAGAAAATATTTTCTGTTAAGAAAAATCACTTTAAAATAAAAGAAGAGAAATCATACCAACTAAAACAGCTCAAGGAAACGCTCAATAAAATATGGTTCAGGTAAGTCAGCCTGGTCAGCCTGTTAATGGATATCCGGATATATATTCCGTTCAGAAACAAGAAGATGAAGAACACGACAAAGCTGCCATCCCAACAACTTCCAGCCCCTCTTTCACACTTTGCCTCCAAGGGACCCTGACTGGCAACAGATTGAAGCCGCCACCTTTCCCCACGAGACGCCGATCGGCGACAGTGAGATATATAGTAACAAACACATTGCCGTAAAATCTTCTTTTAGACATGCATACTTGTTAAAGTTATAAGTCTTAAGATAATGAAAAGGTTTCATACCTACAGTAGAACATACACTCAATGCTTAAAGATAAGATTATGAAAAAAAAAATCTGACTAAAAAGCTTGGGATTCTTTAAGAGCTAAAAAAAATCTCTACTCCATGAAAGCAACCCAGTCTATGTTCCAACTTGACATTCTCTTCAGCCTTAAAATCAAATATATTACAGTACAGAAGCACAGTGTGCTCCTCACATAAAAACGAGACGCATACATACTTTTCAGGATCAGTAGGATGCTGAGTGTAAACCAGCTGCTCATCTACTTGAAGGACATTTGCTAACGTAACCTGACGAGACAAAGAGTGAACCATATTGAGTTCCTTTTTTTTTTTACATTCAGCACACATCATAACAACTTCAACAGGCACCATGAATCAATATGACTATAAACAATAGCACTTTCATTAATATTCTTAGACATTTTTGCTCTTTCAAGGCAAATCAACATTTTATTTTTTCAGCCAGGGAAAAAAAACAACTAGCCACTTTTCATTCGAAACTAACAACATTAAACAAAAAACAAAAAAACAAACAAAAAACCCCAACAAAACGGACAACAACAAAAATGTTTTCATACAAACAAGTCAATCTGGAGTTTCAAAGTACAGCACAATAAAAGAATCATCACAATATCACACTGGTATGTACAAAGTCATAGAAACCAACTTAAAGATAAAAACTGGAACTTTTTGGCAATGCAAGAACAAACAAACAAAAAAACCAAACAAACAACAAAAAAACCCCAACAAAAATACAAAACCTGAAAGTGAAAGATTTGCCTTATTACTTATAACCTGGTAAGGAATAAAAAGTTTGGTGACAATAGCTTTCTTCTCAAGGTGAAAACAGTTTTTGAAGTAAAGGAAAATAGGCTCGTGATTTATAATGAGCTGTTTGTACCACAGTGACACTCCATGAAACTCCTTTAACAGGACAAAAATTTCAAAAATATATTTGTGCAAGGACAGCATGACCTGCAGTCAGTAAGCTAAACTTGCAGCAACAGCACTTTTTCATTTAAAACAGACACATAGAGTAGCAGCTGTGCATCAGTATGAGTAATGCAATACAATAAAACACCAAAAGTGCCAAACAGAAAAACGCATGCAAGAACACACAAAATATTTCGATCAAATCTTTGTAAGGGTAAACTTGTATCCACCCAAAGAAAGCTTAAAATTTTTTTTAAGCCGTTAAATGGCTGGATACATATAACATTAAAAGTAACTTAAATGGTGACGTTAATACTCACATTTCTTGCTTTGACGGAGAAGGATTTTGATTCTGGATCAACTATGGAATGTTCACTTGCATAACAAACTTCCTGAATGCCTATCAACTGCAGAAACAAAAAAGTGAATGACATGACATTAGTAAAGTTGTTTTTTTAAACTACATAATACATTGTTAGTATTGTAACCCTTGTTGGTTAAAAGTCTTTTAAAAAAGATACACTTTCGTTTATTACTGGGAATTCACAACATTCAGCCCATAGAAAAAGACATGAAAAATAAACTGAGCATAGGATATTGCTGGAAACCAATACCAATAAAACAACATCTTTTAATTTCTAACCAATGTTTCTGATTAAAACCTTTCCAAAATGACATAAAACATTTTTTAAAAATTTTCCTCGACTTGAAAAAGTCAGTTTTATAATGCTTTTATTGTTTTGACAACAAAAAAACCTTGATTTTGGCTGATCAGTAGGCACTCAATACAACTGCTGTCCTATTAATAACTATTATAGCTCCCAGCTTTCCCCTACCAGCTATACCTTTCATGCCCCAAAAAACCATGTAACTTCTATTTTCATGACAAAATTGGAATACAAAAATTACCAAAACTCAATTCAATATTTAAAGTCAGCATGACAAATATACTTCTACAAACTCCAATTCAAGACTTAAAAAAAAAAACAACCCCAAAAAACACACGAGAACAAAAATGAGTCTGAGAGACTCCCAAGTGGCCAATCTTAGGAAAGAGACACTCTGGATATTATTGTAGAAAGAAATGAACACAAAAGTGCAACTTTTTTCAAACAGAATCAATCCATTCTTCCTTCTTCTACTCTGATTTCCTCTAAAATGTGAAGAAGACAAATCAGTTACCTTGGCAACCCATCCTGGAATTCCCCAATTCGTTGTCATAAGTCTGTGGGACTTTAACCTGCCTTCACTGTCTACTGTCCGGTCTACTACATCTAATCCTGTGACTGAAGGGTTGTGTGGGTTTGGGTATTTCCTCCATGCTGCCGTCACCACAGTTTCCCAACTGTGGCTGAATTTCAGAGGGGGGAAAAAATTAAAACAATAAGACTCAATAAAATACAAAAAGTTAAAACAACACAGCAAAAGAGTAAGGATTGCGATAAAACTAAAACAAGAGACAAATTTAGAGAAAGAGAAAGGAAAAAGAAAGGCACAAACACACCTAACGTCTCATTTAAATCATATAATAATAGGTTGAGATAATCATAAAGAATGCAAATACGTACAAGATGTCTTTAGTCAACATTTTCTTTACTGAAAGTATAAAAAGGGCAAAAACAGGATAAATTGAAATTTCAAGAAGGCAGCAGATGAGTAGAAAGAGAAGTGCTAAAGCACCTCTGGACCAGTCTTTTGTAAAATTACAAAATAAGGCTTGCAACTACTTTGTCTCGCCTTTTCTCATGAGCATGTTTGTTATGCATTTTTGTGAGAAGTAATCATATCTTGGCCCAAGTAGCATACTTATCCTAAAAACAGCCAAAATGACGTGTCAACGGGATTACTATACAACACATTATTTTAAAAACTCACCGAATAATTTGTAATGCTTAAAAAGAAAAAAGAAAACAGACAAAAGAACAAGAAAAGAGCCGTGCATGATACCTGAGCAAGAAATCAAAATTGGAGCGGTAGTGAAATAATACCTCAACTTTTTAACAGAGGCCAACAGCCTACGACTATTAAATTAACATATATTACAACTGTATCAGACAACTGTACAGTACTGTAAATCTCACAGGAATGTGGCATGTTTGTTTTCCTTGATTATAATGCAAATCAGAATAAAAATTTATTTCAGTGAAAGAAGTATATATATGATAATGTACATGGATACAAGGGTAAAGAAGGGCCGGGGCAGAAAAATCACCATACAAACCAATCACTTCGAAGTGTCATTCACCAATTGGAAGGAGTTCCGCAGAGGGCGGCTGATGAACAACATACAAAACTAGCATCTGCGTTTGCTGCCATTTTTTGGTTAAAAGTTGCCCCAGAAATGGCAAAAGTTTATATTAATTTTCAAACTTTCAACTCTCTGTGACGACGTATATAAACGTAGATAGAGGTAACTTAATAAACCATCAATAATTTATTTATAGAGGCACCAGCCATCCATGTCCAAGTGCTGTTTTAGCCTCTTTTTCCTGTATTCGGATTAATATTATCTTAAAGGCCGGCACTATTTCGCCGAACGTTCGGGAAAATAAAGCTGGGCACTATTTCTCCGAACACTCTGAAATCACATCCTTTTCCGCAAATTTCGGATATATATAATTATATTACAGGCTTATATTAAAGATTGTTCGTATACAATAAGGTTCAATTAGTCCAAAAAATGTCAGCAGTAAATATTTATATAAAGAAATGCTACAGTTCCAAACAGTTTTTCACTGCAGATATGGCGTGTTGCCTATGAAGGGTGCTTCTCTTAAACATAATATGTTGTGTTCACTCGTGTGCTGTCTAGATCTAGATCTATGGAGGGTTATTGATAACGACACATAGAACTAGCATCTCTGCGTTTGTCGCGGCCGCGACCAATCAATCTTGGCTCGATTTTTTGGCATTTTTTGGTCCCCGAATCGGGGAATAAAAGTTTTAAAAAAGAAAAAACCGAACCTCTTTTACTTTTGAAAGAAACTTCACTTATCTTCACTTCGTCTCTTTCTCACTTGTTGTCGCCACCTTGATTTGTTGAATACGTTACAGGTATATACGATTTGTATTGTTGTTCCTCTTTTATTTTTCCCTCTTTGTGGTGTTTTATTTTGTTGGTGTGTAATTTTTTTTCTTGTTATTGTTCTGATGTGTTGTTTTTCTATTAATTTTTTTTGTTGGGGAAAAGGGGGGGGGGGGGGGGGGTATGTTGTATAGCGTAACGTCATTTAATTTGATGTTCCTACCTTCATTAGATTCTCAATATATATATAGATTTAAATAAGTTATGTTAGAGCGTTCCACCAAAACCGATTACACGTACTGACATTGGTAGGCCCCTTGTGTGTGATTCCATAATTTACATGTAATATACTGTACTTTTTTTTTTTTTTTAAATTACGCACATTTAGGGTTAAAACAGCCAATCTTCTTCGGACAGGTGGACACAAGCCCTTATTTGTTAATTTTTGTGGTTGTTTATGGGCTGTTCTAATTTTGATTTCATTCTGTTGTGAAACCTTTCTTTTTCACGTTTTTGAAAATTGAAATAAAGAATAGATCTAGACCCAAAAATTTGCTCCTTCCCAGACCTCGCAGAATAGCAGAATGAAAGTTGGCGCCGAACTCTCGCAAATAGGCAAAAAATCACGAGACCGGAAGCCAGAAACCGTTCGGAGAAATAGTCACTTCGTATTATCTTTTTGCCAATTTATTGGTTCCGCTTCTATGTACCCCATATCTACGGTTCCCAACCTGGAAATCGCCTATAATTCGCTGTAATTGCCTCCCCCCTCCCCCCCTCATCACCCCCTCATCCCAGGTAACATAATCTAAAGCACCAAAATTACTTGTGTTCTGTTTTAAGCATCCAGATTATTATTTTGTATCCAGAGTGTAAAAACATAAAAAATAAAGGTTTCCCAACAGAATGAAATCAAAATTAGAACAACAGCACATAGACAATCACAAAAATAAATAAAGGCGTGTGTCCACCTATTCGAAGATTGGCCGGTTTAACCATAAACGTGTTTAATTCAAGAAAGGGTACAGGATGTAAATTATGGAATCACACACAAGAGGTCTGTCAGTGTCAGTACAGTATTCAGTTTTGGTGGAGACACACTAACATAGCAGAATTTATATATTTTTTAAATGTAGGAACAACATCAAATTAAAAGGCATTTACGCTTTATAAACACAATTAAGTAGAAATACGATGAACGATCGTTTTTCCTCCGTTTTGGAGTTGGAGGAATCACAATTTGAAGAAGGCCACCTCTATTCTCACCCCGGGTGAGAATAGTGCAGGTGAGTCTTTTGGCTATTCTCACGGTATTTTTTTTACTTTCCCTCCCGTCTCTCACTCAGCTACCAGTTGTCTATTGTCTACTAAATATTGATGCGCTGAACACGAATATCAACTTCATTTCCGTCGCAAATTAATAGTTTTTAAAATATTTGAATGTTTTTAACCGAGATAGACATGCTTTGGACCAATCGGGGGGTTCCAGGGGGGCCTGCCCCACTGGGGTAAAAGAAAATCGGGGGGGGGTTACAGAGGGGGGCATGCCCCCCTGTTTTTACCCATAATTTGATATTTTACAGTTAGATTTGAAATTGTCTTGAAAATAATTGATTTGCGACAGTTTTAGTGGCTTAATGTGTGATCTGCAGCAAACAGTACAGCAGTTTGACCCCTGAAACAGTGCATCTGTGTGCGGGAGTGAAAGTAAAAATTTACCGAATTCTACACTGTGATGACAGAAAAATTGTAGAATTCTGTGCCGTGAACAAACGTTCCATTACTACTGTTAGCCTACCAAAAGCGTACAATTTTGTCTGTGGGCAGTGGAGAGAGAGAGAGAAAGAAAGAGAAAGAGGAGTAGCGTGAGAACTTCCGGGCAAAACAAAATAGCGACCCGCGTAGTTCGGCTCGATTCGAAAGTTAAATAGCCGTAGCATCTTTGTATACCAAAAGCGTACAATTTTGTCTGTGGGCAGTGGAGAGAGAGAGAGAAAGAAAGAGAAGTAGCGTGAGAACTTCCGGGCAAAACAAAATAGCGACCCGCGTAGTTCGGCTCGATTCGAAAGTTAAATAGCCGTAGCATCTTTGTAGACAACCAAATTAATTTACTTTTGTGTTTTAACATCATTTTTTAACTTTGTTTTGGTCAATTTGATCGTCCACACCGATAGACAGTATTCAGAAAGAGATAGAGAGAGAGAAGAGGGGAGGAGTAGATCTGGCGAGAACTTCCGGGCAAAACAAAATGGTGATCCCCGTAGTTCGGCTCGATTCGAAAAGTGAAATAGCCATAGCATCTTTGTAGTCAATAAAATAAGCTTACTTTTGTGCTATAACGTAATCTTTTCTTTGCCTTTATCCATTTGATCATCCACATCAATAGAAAGTATTCCGAAATTAGGAAAAACAGGTCTTGTTTCACACCGGGTGAGAATAGCCTACGGTGGCAAGTCTCACCCCGGGTGAGAATAGCCACTTCCTTTGAAAGAAAAGAGCAATGCATAATTAATTTCAATCGAGCAGTGACCCTCACTTTTCTCTGCCTCTCTCTCTCTCCTCTGATTGCTCGCCTTCTCTTTTTCTTTGTTGTCTGTCTTTCTCTCTCCCAATCTTTTTCTCGTTCCCTCCTGCCAACTGGGGCATGTCATAAACATTTTGCTAGCACTCATCTCTCTCTCTCTCTCACACACACAAACACACTACTCTGGGCGCTGAAACTTTCCGAAATCACAAAAAGAGTTCCCCTACCAGGTCTGTATACTTCGTGATTTTGTTCCTGGTTACCAGGTCTGTATACACTTCGAATCTAGAATCTATCTAGATCTAGATTTTCTAGATCTTGATCTAATCTTCACTCTCTATTATCTAGCCTATAGACTAGATCTAGAATCTAAATCTAGACTTCTAGATCTAGAATCTAGATCTAGACTTGACTGTGACTCTTCTGGTTCGAGTAGTGTCATGACACACTGGCCTTGTTGTAAGTTGTAGTGTGTTCTTGTTGTGTAGACTACTCTGAACTACAGATCTACTAGACTAGACTAGTACAGGAGTCGAAATTAAAATTACTCACTTGAACGTGTGTTCGGAGTTCCAAATACGCATGATTTTGAGAAATGATGAGAGCGTTTGTAGAATTTGTGATCAATCCCACGGAACACGCAATCTACTTCATTGATTTCGTAAAGTTCTTCTGCGTCACGTTACAGGACACGAGAAGGGACTCCGAACCCGTGGAGATAGTTACCCGGAAAGGACAGCTTCACAGGTCAAGGAGTGTACAACCTTGGCAGGTATTTCGCAGCGATGTTTTGTAGTGAAGTTCATAGTTGATCAAGTAAGAGAACACATAATTGGAAGGTATTTTTTCTTGCTAAATTTAATAATTGAAAGATTTTCCAGCTTTCGGACATATCAGTGAAATAGTGTAAGGGGTTTCTTGCACTGATCAATCACTAGCAAGTATGCCCAATTTGGCATTTTAGTGTGGGTGTGTGTGTGAGGGGGGGGGGGGGCTATCCGAAGAATGCTCTGTGCGTCTCTGTTTATAGATTCTATAGATTTTTAATGAATCTTTTGCTAATCTACAAGTTTGAAAATTTATTGATTTGATTATTTCATTTTCTTTACGTTCCATTTTCAGTCACCAAAGAAATAATATAGCACTCTATCCATTTGTCCAGCGTAATAAGAGATATATGAGAATGACGTCATTAGTTGTTGTGTCATTTTCAACGCAATGCATGTATATTTTTATGAATTCATTTTTATAGATAGATTATCTTATAAATCAATTAAGTAGATTCTTTTAGATAATTTTCTTTGCAAATGTATTATAAATATAGTAGAACACTTTTTAAAGACAAAGTAGGGGACCTACTGGACTACCTACTTTCGTTTTTTTAAACAAGAGTTTCATTGGACGATCATACCCATACCCACCAATCCGGTGTCACATAACAGAGAGAATCGCGCCCATAGTAACAGCGACAATATGGCGCTGTGAATTGTTTTAGTACGTTTGAGTGCTGTATTTCTTTCCCTGTGAACCTCGTAGTACACAGTACAGCGTAAGTTAGTATTTCTTATATGGATCTTTAACTGAGTATGTAAAATTTTGAAATGCACTGAATTGTCTTTGTTGTTTTATATCTACTGCCCTCAAATTAAGGGTCGAGTTGTTAACACTGTGCTGTGATTGATACACACTTCGTAAACTGCAAGAGCATCAATGTTGTCAAGTCCAAATGTATAGTGTATGTAGTGTATTTACATTCAACTGTGGAGCACTGCTATGGCAGCTTATAGTTTATGTAGCGATCACTTTTTTTTTTTTTACCTAAGGCATCTTTAGATGTCTTATTCTTGTTGCAGCTATAACGATAGAAAGTGGCTATTCTCACCCGCCCGGAAGTTCTCGCAAGATCTACTCCTCCCCTCTTCTCTCTCTCTCTGTCTCTTTCTGAATACTGTCTATCGGTGTGGACGATCAAATTGACCAAAACAAAGTTAAAAAATGATGTTAAAACACAAAAGTAATTTAATTTGGTTGTCTACAAAGATGCTACGGCTATTTAACTTTTCGAATCGAGCCGAACTACGCGGGTCGCCATTTTGTTTTGTTCTCTCTCTCTCACTCTCTCTCTCCACTGCCCACAGACAAAATTGTACGCTTTTAGTAGGCTACAAGTACAGTTGTAATGGAATGTTTGTTCACAGCACAGAATTCTACAATTTTTCTGTTATCACAGTGTAGAATTCTGTGTTTTAGGGTGAACGCAAAATTTGTTGGCCTAGATCTAGGCTATAACGGTGAACGCGCACCGGGTGAGAATAGCCAAAAGACTCGCCTGCACTATTCTCATCCCGGGTGAGAATAGAGGTGGCCATAACGATAAAGATCTATCTAGATCTAGATCTAGAATATAATATTATTATCTCGTTATAGCTGCAACAAGAATAAGATAACCTTTTTTTTTGCATGTTGATTGGTTACGAGGTTTATTGTGGTTTCTTGATTTTTGTCATGTATCCTAAGCTTGGCTACTTCTTCATGAAGGTTTAACAAGGACAAAAACAGGGGTGAATTTCTTTATGTTTATGATGTTCGTTTCCTCCCAACATCTTTCTGTAATTGTTTAAAATGAATTTTGTTATTTATGCCTTGTGTTTTTGTGAAGTTAATCTTCTCTTGGTTGCTCAAAGTACTAGATCTAATTCCTCTCTTTTCTATGTGTAGCATCATGCCATTGGGACCCTTTGGCGAGGTGGTGGGCACAACAGGGACCCTTGAGGCTCTGGGTCCTGATGCCCAAAACTACAAGACTAAGGTCATTGCCCCTCGCAACCCAAAGCTGGTGAAGCAAAATGAACCGGACCATCATAAGGTTTGTTTAATGATGCTTTATGCATAATCTGTGTCCCCATATCAAACTACAAGCTCAAATAATCACTTTGTATTTGTGGAGATGACAGTATAAAATTTAAAAAAAGAAGGAGAGGCAGAAATAGGAGTGTGTGATAAGGATGAGTAAAGTACTGAAAAAAAGAGACAAGGGTGAATTAAAATGCCAAAATATGTGCATGAAATATATTGAAACATGTCTGGAGCACCTATTTTTACCCGCCAACCATGCGACAGACATGAGCTGACTAAGACTACCAGCTCTTCTTGCATATATTCCAAATGTAACTATTTCCTAATCAGTGCATGACAAATGTGGCAGAATGGTGCTGACTTCTGTGAAATAAATCTCATCTAAATAACCTTGATCTCAGGTCTTTTTTAAAACTGAGAATGATGAGTTTTTTATGATTAACTGTGACACCATTGATAGTTGGATTTTGAAAAATAATTAATGCTACAACATATATATGTGATATCAATCCACTTTTGATGGTTAAAAAAAAAAATATTTGGTAAATTTTCAAAACAATTCTCTGATATTTGTCATGTCGTGTGTTTAGATAGTCTGCGTGCTCTGGTCAAGAGATTGTAGCTGCACTTTCTATATAAGACTGACCATTGTAATATATGTTTTAGAATGCTATTGTTTAAGAAATCAATAGTTTTCTTTTTTTTATGTTAAAGGTACTTGTTGTTAATTGTCTTGTGTTACTCTTAAATTGTGTTGGCATGCTTTTGTTGTTTGTATTTTCACATTTGATTTGAACATTTTTTTTCCAATAGATGACACCCAGCAAGTTTCTCTTTGACATGTCATTGAGCACTGAGCAAAAGCTTGCCAACACACACATCATGAAGGTTCCCCGCAAGACAGAACTACTGGACATGGGAGACACATCTCTACAGAAGGTAACGTCCAAACCAAGTATTTCGTGTTTTCGCACCCATCATCGTGTTTCTTAAAATACATGATTTTTTTGCAATATTTTAAGTTTTACCTGCTATGTTGCTAGGAAATGCAGGGGTCGTGGAAGGATCTGATTGCACCTGTACTTGAAAGTGAAAGAGTTTTGGGTAAAATTTGGGAGACTTTCTTGTTCAATCTTTTTGTTTTTTGAATTGACATGAATAATCGATGTTTGTCATGCTGGTGATACATAAATTGTATCTTCTTTTCATTTCAGTTTTCAAAGGTCAACATTGATGAGCCCATGTTCCAACCCTTTCCATCAGAAATATACTTTCAGAACTTCAACCCATTTGAAGTATATGAAGTACCACTGACTTTGAGAAATAATGACAAGGTAATGGCTTCAACATTCTTGGATACTGCTGATTTTCATTTTTATTTTGAGACTGAATATTCGATTTTATTTTCTTACTTTTTGCTAATTAAATTTATAAGCTTGCCTTATTTTTTTGAGGGGTTGTGTTTTGGTGCCATTTATATTGCACATACATTCATTTGCTTTCTTTTTTTTTCAACATGTAAATGTCTCTTGAGATTTCTATACCTTATATCTACTTAAAAAAACCTCTAGGTGCAGGGAAAAAGTGTCTGAAAAATATACTCTTTAGTAACATTAATTTGTCTTTGTTCATTAAACAGAAGCTTCCACATTCTTAGGTGAATATCCTGAGGCATTAACAAGACCTCTTTTCATTTATGTACAGGTTCCTCGCCTTGTGAAAGTGACTCAGGAAGATTCTCCATACTTCAAAGTAATCAGCCCAAATGATGTTGGCCACAAGGTTGGACCAGGATTGCCCACCACATTCAGAGTGCAGTTCATGCCTGATGAGAAGAAGGCGAGGACTTTTATGACTTATAATTACTTTGTTTAAATAACAATTTGTCTTACTTACAAGACAATGACAAGGTCACTATCTACATTTACACTTAGAAAATGAAAGAATTTTTAAAAACATTTTTAACCATATAATCACCCAAGGGCATTTTACCAAAGATATAAACCCATCTGCTTTTGTCTCTCATTTAATCAGAATTGGAAAAGTTTCTGAGTTGGTTTTTGTTGAATTTCAGCTCAGCATTGGTAATTTCTTTGAAGAATAAGGAGAGAAAATTTGCATACCCCAATTTTTGTCATTTTCTCTGATTTCAAAGATACAAAATTGTTATCATTAAAATTGATAAATTGGTTGATATTTTAAAAAACTAAAAGCATACTGTCACTCTTGTGTTTTATAATTAAATGAGAATCAAGTAAAATGTTTAGACTTTAAAATCACTCCAATTATCTTCCGGCTTTAAAAAAAAATGTACAGGCAAAATGGAAGAGGTAAGAGAGATAACCACTTTTTAGAACGATTCAAATTTCGTTAAGTGAATCTTACTTTTGTTTTATATGTCTCAAGAGGTTTATGGAATTCAGTGGATCTTAATCTTTTTAAAATCGGAAATAATTTCCTTTTATGTTGAATTCCACTGCCTTTGTAAGGAACTATCATAGTTTAAACTTTTTGCTGTTTCAATTTAAGTGAGACAGAGATGGTGATTGTTTTATTCTTTATGCAAAACAGGATTATCAGCATGAACTGATCTGTATCACTGAAAGGGAAAAATTTGTGGTGCCAGTAAGGGCAATTGGAGCTCGTGGTATCCTCGATTTTCCGGATGAAATACGCTTTCCAACATGTCCAGTGAAGTACCCAAACACAAAGACTCTGCTGGTCAGAAACATCGGCAGTCGGGAGGCAAAGTTCAGCCTCAAAGCTGATGAGTAAGTAGGAATAAGAACTGTTAAATGTTAGCTTTTGATTTTGAATTTGGTTTAACTTTCGAGACTTTTTTGGAGCCTTCTTATTTTTTTTCGAGTGGGGAACTTATTTTCCATTGTGCAAAACCTACAGGTTTTATATTCTAAGATTTTTTTCTCATGCCAGCAAGTACAGATATGTATATAAATATATTTGAGAGGAACATACTTAATTTAGGGAATGTATGACACCTTGTATACAGAATGTCGTTGAGATGTGTTTTTCTTCCCCTTCAAGGTGTAGACAATGTGAAATATTCAGATGCGCCCCTTTTAACAAGATGTATTTCCTAATCTTTACATTTGGCATAATATCACTCTCTATCCATTCACAGGTCATTTTCAGTGACCCCAGATATTGGCACACTCGGGGTGAATGACAGTATTCAAGTGACCGTGGAGTTCAAACCACTGAGAGCAGGGGATCACAATGGAGAACTGCTTCTCACTTATGACACTGGTCAGTCTTGTTTTTAGTTTGTTATGTTCTGTGCTGGGGAACATTTTGTCAGCATCTTTCCACAAGCACTTTAGTCATTTTATGAAATTTAAAGAGTTTTAAAGCAAAAGAGAGTCCAAATCAGAATCATGATTTGGGTATGCGTTATTTTTTTAATTTAAAAAAATAGGAAGGAAGTAACAAAACAGAGTGGAACTATTGCCAGCTACCGCTTAATGTGTTTATTCGAATAATGGCTTTATCTGGAAACTGTAAAAACAATGATTTAGGTGAAGGTGGGATGATGCTGATGATTTATCTGTTTTGGAGGTAAATACATGTACTGGAAAATTTAAGAAACAAATCTACCATGGATTCATCAATATGCAAATATATCATTAAAAGATTTCAAAATAGATCATCCAATGAAGAGAAATGTCAAAATAACTTTGTTAGATATTTTCACTCATACAATGTAGATCAAGATTGGCAGTTGAATGTTAATGGAACAATTATAAAAAGTATGATTTGAGGCATAGATAAAAATTAGATGTAAAGCAGCTTAATATTTCAGTTTGGGTGTGAAGTTTATACTTCCTGTATTTAATATAACTTGTCTTTGTGCAGGGGAGGAGGTTTCAATTGCTTTATATGGAGCCTCTCAAGATGCCAATGTCAGACTGGACAAAAACTCAATTCGTATTGAGAACACCTATATATCCATGGCCAACCAGAGAACTGTGGTCATCACCAATCGCAGTGACTTCATTGCACACTTCAGATGGACCCGATTTGCCACACAAGATGATGAAGATCAACAGAGATTGCTGTGAGTATTTAACACATCTATAGAAGAAAAATTCTTGAAACAAATGGTCGCTTTTAAGGACGAGCGGGCTAACCCAGATTTCGGGGTTTTCCAGAAATCTTCACCTACACCAAAAGTGGGCATTGCCCTTCCTATAGGAGAAGTTTGGTTTCATTGGTGCATATATTTGTTTGGTTGTAGAGAAAACTCTCCTTGTCTTTTAAAGAAAATGAACAAGGGGCAAAAACTTTACCTTCGATTTTCTCAAAACAGCATTTTTCAGGATAGCCCCCTAGCTTGTGCTTAAAAGCGACCAAATACAAACTAAGTTTATGCAGAATCACTGAAGCGGGGAACTTAATCTAAACTTCGTGAAAATCTTTTTTTGCCCTGCTTTCACCTTGTCTTTCTGGAGATTAGTTAATCCTTGCTAAATCCTTTTGATTGTATATTACAGCTTTTTTGGTGATTGTGCTGTCAAAGAAAGAATTTATACTGTATCTTTTGAGTATGAAGTAGGACAAAGGAATTAGTTCCAGTCTGATTTTCTCTTTTAATTACTTAACATGTTTGATGATTTGTTCACAATAGTGTTGGAACTACTTCTCTGGACTTACTTGACTATTTAAATGGTTGGGAATATATTTTTTTTTCAGTCAGGTGATTGAACTGGACAGGGAAGAAAATTCAGACACAGACAGGTTTATCGATGAGTGTGTGGCAGACCCGACCTTGCGAGACAAATTGTCAATCCTGTCAAGGACATTCCAGAACAGAAAAAGGGTGAGGATATTAGTCTGAATATTTTTGCTTAATCCCACCACTGTCCAGTTGAAAGTAAAGTGTTAATTGTAGGCTTATATCCGTTCTCATAGAAAGCGTCTATAGCTTCTCAATAACTACTTTAGGCCAACCTGCCTCAAGTCTAAAGCAAACTACACAGTTTTTGCACATGACCAGTTTGACTGTCTGTCATTGAAGACAAAGAAGAAAAAGAAGTGTCAACCAACAAACAATGACTTAAATCTAAACGCACATTGTTGTTTTACGTAGACTCATATTTCAATTTAACTTCTCATGTAGTTTATTGTCCATGACAGCTTCAAAATTAAGGGCTTAAGATAAAAAAGAAATGATGACTGCTGTATTGGAAAAATCTTGAAGTAGTAGTATACTTGCCAAAAGACTTAAATGCTGTTGTTGCCTGAATTCAATACATTGTTATTGATGCCCTTTTTACTTTCCATGGTCATTTTGAGTTTCTTTCTCTATTTTATTTCAGGCTGTGGAGAATGACCCTTTGCTGTTTGATGATGATGTCATGTCAATTGAGCCAGTTGAAGGTGATATCTGGCCCAACTCCTCTTTTGAGATAAATGTAGTCTTCAAGCCAAGGGAAGCAACTTCATACACCCGGACGGCTTACTGTGACATCACTGGCAGGGAGAGTCGTCTGCCCCTGAGAATCCGTGGCGACGGAGAAGGGCCAAAAGTAGACTTCTCTTTCAACCACTTGGACTTGGGAAACATTTTCATCGGGTCCAAACACACCTATGAAATTGTCATTGCCAACAAAGGAGATATTGATGCCATTTACAGGTCAGTATTGCTAATTGAGTAAAAGTAAAGTATCACTTATCTCATGTCTTTGTGTAACGTGAAGATCATAGCTTTGCTGTTTCCTGTTCATATGAGACATGAGTACCACATATATATCATGTTATTGTTCAACACTTTGCCACCTCATCTCGCCGATTGGCAATGTTTACCACCAAGTTTCTTTGGATTTTCCCGAAAGTATACTTGCAAAGTGTTAATGCAGGATATGACAATTGCCGGAAAAATGTGTCTGATGTAATTGTTTCAGAAAAGTATGATATGTTACAGAATCAGCAATAGTCTGGTGGTATCTCTATTTCTTTACTTGATTTGTTCCCAGTGTTGTGCCCAACACGAGCATCTTTGGGCCGTGCTTCGCCTTCAACCCTGCAGAGGGCATCGTCATGCCTGGCGGGCATCAGGCCATTCAAGTGGCCTTCAACAGCCCCTATCTGGGAGACTTTGAAGAAGTGTTCTGCTTCCAGGTTGATGGACAACCACAACAGTGCAAAATCCAGTTCACGTGAGTGTCAACTTTACCTTTAATCTGTCTCGAATATGGGATATTTTTCACTTTATTTAAAAGAACTGTTTTCATTTTTCCTTTTTTTTTCCTTTACAATAATTTGTTCTAAATTCCGGATGGGTTAAAGGTCTTTAAATTCAATTTAATTTATAAGAAAAACCTTTTTGTTGTTACCAAAGTTTACATTCTGGTAACTTTACTGATGGTATTTGATTTTACTTTTGCATCAAACACATGAAAGCCACAGCGAAAATAGCCTCAACTTTCATTTAAATAATTGGGGATTTACACGTATTATAATAATGAGGAAAATTTGCAACCTTATGATATATAATAATATCTTTCACTGCTGTGCTATAAGAATTGAAAATGTCAATAAACTGATATCACATTATTTAAGAATGTTTTTATAAGTCTTTGAAAGTGTGATATTTCACCTGTCAGACTATAATGCGTTATTTGTAGTGAATGCACAGTACTATATAACCGGTTTAAATGAGGGGACTAAGTAAAGAAAGACCGCTCCCAAATAAAAAGGAAGGAGAATACCCTACTCTAGTCATATTGTTTAAAGTATAAGCGATTTTGAAATGTTTATAATCCTCAGTGTTTTCTAGGTATTTCAAATATAATTTCTTCATCACCAGGGGACGTGTTGTTGGGCCAACTTTCAATTTTGATGTGGCTAAACTGAAGTTTGGGACTGTCCCCTTTGGATTTCTGAGTTCTCAGGTAAGTGTCAAGCTAATGTTAAGACTTTTTATCCCTATCCGTACGTCGTGTTTTATTGTCGTATCCATACGACATGGGGAACTCTGTGCCGCCTCTTTCGAAAGAAGAAATTTACTTGTTAATCCGATCTGTACGCGTTACATAGTAGTCTGTCAAAATTATTTTTTGAGAAATCCTGAAAGTTTCAAAGAGATCTTCACACTAGAAGTATTCTAAAATTTGAAGAATACAACCCTGGGAGTACAAAATGACCCCAGGGCGTATGGATAGGCTTGAAATAAGTTTGGAAATACAGGCTACAGACCCATTTACTGTACACTGTCGGTCTACACAGTACTGTGCTACAGATGCCTCACTAATTTTCTCATTGCGTCCATGACAGTGACAAAGTTTACACTTCAGTTCTGTGTTTGAAAAAGTTGTTGCAAAATTTTGTAATTGAAAGTTGAAGCCAACTGTGAACTTGCTGTTTGAATCTAGCCGTGGATACATGTTATCAGACACGGCTTTGCTGGCAAGTCAGCTTTGTGAAACAAATTGTTACTGTCGACCACTTTTTACATTTTCTTTGAAACAAAAACGTCATGTTCTTTGTGCTATAACGTAATCTTTTCTTTGCCTTTATCCATTTGATCATCCACATCAATAGAAAGTATTCCGAAATTAGGAAAAACAGGTCTTGTTTCACACCGGGTGAGAATAGCCTACGGTGGCAAGTCTCACCCCGGGTGAGAATAGCCACTTCCTTTGAAAGAAAAGAGCAATGCATAATTAATTTCAATCGAGCAGTGACCCTCACTTTTCTCTGCCTCTCTCTCTCTCCTCTGATTGCTCGCCTTCTCTTTTTCTTTGTTGTCTGTCTTTCTCTCTCCCAATCTCTTTCTAGTTCCCTACTGCCAACTGGGGCATGTCATAAACATTTTGCTAGCACTCATCTCTCTCTCTCTCTCACACACACAAACACACTACTCTGGGCGCTGAAACTTTCCGAAATCACAAAAAGAGTTCCCCTACCAGGTCTGTATACTTCGTGATTTTGTTCCTGGTTACCAGGTCTGTATACACTTCGAATCTAGAATCTATCTAGATCTAGATTTTCTAGATCTTGATCTAATCTTCACTCTCTATTATCTAGCCTATAGACTAGATCTAGAATCTAAATCTAGACTTCTAGATCTAGAATCTAGATCTAGACTTGACTGTGACTCTTCTGGTTCGAGTAGTGTCATGACACACTGGCCTTGTTGTAAGTTGTAGTGTGTTCTTGTTGTGTAGACTACTCTGAACTACAGATCTACTAGACTAGACTAGTACAGGAGTCGAAATTAAAATTACTCACTTGAACGTGTGTTCGGAGTTCCAAATACGCATGATTTTGAGAAATGATGAGAGCGTTTGTAGAATTTGTGATCAATCCCACGGAACACGCAATCTACTTCATTGATTTCGTAAAGTTCTTCTGCGTCACGTTACAGGACACGAGAAGGGACTCCGAACCCGTGGAGATAGTTACCCGGAAAGGACAGCTTCACAGGTCAAGGAGTGTACAACCTTGGCAGGTATTTCGCAGCGATGTTTTGTAGTGAAGTTCATAGTTGATCAAGTAAGAGAACACATAATTGGAAGGTATTTTTTCTTGCTAAATTTAATAATTGAAAGATTTTCCAGCTTTCGGACATATCAGTGAAATAGTGTAAGGGGTTTCTTGCACTGATCAATCACTAGCAAGTATGCCCAATTTGGCATTTTAGTGTGGGTGTGTGTGTGAGGGGGGGGGGGGGCTATCCGAAGAATGCTCTGTGCGTCTCTGTTTATAGATTCTATAGATTTTTAATGAATCTTTTGCTAATCTACAAGTTTGAAAATTTATTGATTTGATTATTTCATTTTCTTTACGTTCCATTTTCAGTCACCAAAGAAATAATATAGCACTCTATCCATTTGTCCAGCGTAATAAGAGATATATGAGAATGACGTCATTAGTTGTTGTGTCATTTTCAACGCAATGCATGTATATTTTTATGAATTCATTTTTATAGATAGATTATCTTATAAATCAATTAAGTAGATTCTTTTAGATAATTTTCTTTGCAAATGTATTATAAATATAGTAGAACACTTTTTAAAGACAAAGTAGGGGACCTACTGGACTACCTACTTTCGTTTTTTTAAACAAGAGTTTCATTGGACGATCATACCCATACCCACCAATCCGGTGTCACATAACAGAGAGAATCGCGCCCATAGTAACAGCGACAATATGGCGCTGTGAATTGTTTTAGTACGTTTGAGTGCTGTATTTCTTTCCCTGTGAACCTCGTAGTACACAGTACAGCGTAAGTTAGTATTTCTTATATGGATCTTTAACTGAGTATGTAAAATTTTGAAATGCACTGAATTGTCTTTGTTGTTTTATATCTACTGCCCTCAAATTAAGGGTCGAGTTGTTAACACTGTGCTGTGATTGATACACACTTCGTAAACTGCAAGAGCATCAATGTTGTCAAGTCCAAATGTATAGTGTATGTAGTGTATTTACATTCAACTGTGGAGCACTGCTATGGCAGCTTATAGTTTATGTAGCGATCACTTTTTTTTTTTTTACCTAAGGCATCTTTAGATGTCTTATTCTTGTTGCAGCTATAACGATAGAAAGTGGCTATTCTCACCCGCCCGGAAGTTCTC